GAAAAGTTGTACATGCAGTAGCAGTGACAGAGAGGGAGATACAGGGAGGGTGTTACAGACAGAAACAACAAGACTCACCTACATCGGAAATCTCTGAAACAGAAAAAAGGAGGTTTAGAGAAGTTAGGGCCAATCTGCACAAGTTTATACAGTAAACATGTCCACATGCAGAAATAAACCCTTCACAACACACACTCACAGAGCAGGGCCATGGCATACCTCCCAGTTACTGCTTCATACCAAATCCTCAACCACCCACTTACTGCCACTACAGGCTTCAATTCCTGGAAGCACTTGTGTGCCAATACAACTGATACACATTGTACACACATCAGGACTAGAGGTGAATCATTCACATCAGGTGAATTCACACCTTTGCATATTTGCCTTGATGCGTTTTCCAATTAAGAGCATCAATATGCACGTCAATGCCCTATGATACTTGTGGACATGCAATACAAAAGGTGTGACAACGCACATCAACCTGCATTTTCACAAAGGGTGTAAATCACCATTAATGCATTCCCTGAAAGACCGCTTCACTGGCAGCGTTAATGGAATTCCATCTGTAATACACAAGAGGTTCTATTCTACTTTCCCTGAGCAGTCCTGTATGGTCAGGTACACACAGCATAGGCTCAGCCAACAATACATAAAGACCCCAACTACATAATTCAGGAGCAGCCCATTGAGGTGGAAAAATGCTCATCAATAAGTCTATGGATTTTATGGGGATCTTCAGTAAAAAAAAACAGCATCACTCGTGAGACTGGGAACCCCTCCTTGTAATATTGCAGCACCAACCTCATCCACTAGAAACTGCAGCGTTATTCCTGCTTGGCTTCCGTTTACAAACGTGGCTGAGGGACACAGCGATGGATCATACAAAATCATTGTATTTTGTGACCATGCTGCCACTTGTGTCTGAAATCTGTAACAGAAGCTGTCTCCAATACAATCCAGCAGATGAGGTAAGCTGAACCATCATCATGGTGGCCCTATGCCCCTTCATCTCCGAGGTCATCGGGAGGAGTCTGTTTTTCTGGTTCCTGCAGCCAGACCCCAGATGATGCACATATGCCTCCGCACTTCCATCAAAGGGCTGACTACAAGAACCAGGAAGAGACAGCGGTCCCCTGATTCAGCACTGCAATGCATGCTCATGTACAGATAACTGACCTATAGTCTCTTATGATGCAACAAGTATCCCAGGAAGCTGAGGGCAGCTTGGGAGTTACGTCATTCTCACCTAGGTGAGAAACCCACAAGTAGTGGGGGGGGGGGGGGGGGCTGCTTTATTTGGAAAAAAAAAAAATCAATCAACTGTCAATTGAGTGAAAAGGGATGTGGGGAATCTACTTTAACCCCTTGGCGCCGGTGCCTCCCGACCTTTTAAGGGTTTCAGAAGCTGGGAGGCGGGGCGGGGTTTTAGGGTCATGTGACCGCCATGATTTGCCATCACGGCAGTCACATGATCGGGAAAGGTCCTGATCGAAAGAGGAGATCGGGATCTTTCCGTGAGTACCGGACATGTGCTGGGAGTGCGCTCTCAGCACATATGTTTTTCTTAATTGCACGTAAATGTGCGGCCGCTCAGCGTCAAGGCCCAGACACCGGGAGGCCGTACATTTGCATGCGGCAGGCGCAAAAAGGTTAACATATATTGTGATAAGGCAGCCTATTCATTTAATAGGCTGCCAGATGCACCATAACTTTTTTTTTCACAGAGCTGAAATAGTGAGTTACCATGTATTGTGGTGCGCTGCAACAATCCTACTGCAGATTACAGGAAACCTAGAGCTACTACCAGGTAAGTACCAGGTAGCTTCAAGAAAAAAATAAATAAAGGGTGAGAACATCAATGTGAATACTACATGGTGTACTTCACATTACAAACTGCTCCTACCAATCCACAAGAAATGGTGCCCACTGTGGGAGGTATGCCACAAGCCCAGCAAAGAGAAGTAAAGAGGTTGGTTTTCATTGAAATAGTTTTCTGCAATGATATCAGTTTTAAGAAGCATGAAACTGAGAAAACACAGCTCAGGACATCCACAGTTCTCCTGTGGGAGGCATTCTGTGCCTAAGCAGGTAAGCTGCAACTTTACCGCCCATCTGCTGCAGTATGGAAGCATCTTGAGGACTTGCTGGCTGTAAATTATAGCCGGAATTCGGGAAGCTTTAGCAGGTATCCAGGTATGGAATACAAAGCTGGCTTCTAACAGTTTAAAAGCTTTGATTCAAACTGATAGGACATACAAACACAAAGTACAAAACAAACCCAGAAAAACACTACACAGATGTATTCTGATGAGATGTAGAACATTTAACCTAGAAAGGTAGTTATCATAAACTGTGGCAATAGAACTACTACACTACATACATTCTTGTAGAATTCAGGAGACAGTCAGCCCAATCTAGGAGCCAAAGGACAATTTGAAGGTTAGGTTGTGTAACGAAGCAAAAGGGCAATATGTCATTCAGTCAGAAGACAATTCCTTGCTGGGACATCCCTAATGGTAGCTCTGTGGATACGTACTCATCATTGCTCTTTGCCTACAGACCTTTACAGGCATTTAGTGTAAATCTACACCACTTCTTCCTCCTACTCTCTGAACAAGGCCTCCCCCACCCCTGATAGCAGCAGGGCAGGAAGATTACCCATCCACAAAGTGTAAAACTCCCACATTCTAAGATGGTTCCACTACATAGTCCATGGATGTGCAGATGTGTCATGGACAGCGATGGGTTGGGGGATATTGGTGAATCCTGCCTCACTGACAGCTGTGGTCTGCTCCCTGACCTGGCCAATGTGTACACACAATGCCTGTACAGTGAATGCAATCATTCCAAGTTCTGAAACTGAATGGAGAAGACTGTTTGACATATTACCACTACCACCTTAAACTCAGATAACCACTCCGTGGCCTGTTTGTCTCCCAAAAGTGTTAAACATGCAAGAACTGGTTTGGATTCCTCTCTGTTCATTCAACATATAGCAAAATGTATATTATTTGGCATGCAGTATACAGAAATCCAGCATCGGCTCCCAGCATGCATTGCAGCAACAAAGCCACTATTCCAATCACATGCTGATACATGCAACAAGGACAGCCCAGTCATCACTGAACTGAGAGAATCAGGCAAACGTTACATGGGCTCATTCCAAATAATGACATTGCAGGTTATTCCCATAAATGAAGGATATCTATTACAGAAGGATATGCATGTGAAACTCTGCTTACTCTTTTGTTCATACGAATTATTCTCTCTTATCACCTTTTATTTACAGGTCAGAACAATATGAATCCATTAGAACAGTGGTCCCCAAACTGCGGCCCTGGGGCTGGATGTGGCCCTTTGCTTGCCTCTATCCAGGCCCTTGGGGTATTATTCCATCCACAACTGACACTAATGATGGGGCACCATCCCTCCCACTGGTACCAACGGAACGGAACTTCCCACTGACACCAACAACGGGGAACTATTCTTACCACCGATACCGACAACGGGGAACTATTCTTACCACCGATACCGACAACGGGGAACTATTCTTACCACCGATACCGACAACGGGGAACTATTCTTACCACCGATACCGACAACGGGGAACTATTCTTACCACCGATACCGACAACGGGGAACTATTCTTACCACCGATACCGACAACGGGGAACTATTCTTACCACCGATACCGACAACGGGGAACTATTCTTACCACCGATACCGACAACGGGGAACTATTCTTACCACCGATACCGACAACGGGGAACTATTCTTACCACCGATACCGACAACGGGGAACTATTCTTACCACCGATACCGACAACGGGGAACTATTCTTACCACCGATACCGACAACGGGGAACTATTCTTACCACCGATACCGACAACGGGGAACTATTCTTACCACCGATACCGACAACGGGGAACTATTCTTACCACCGATACCGACAACGGGGAACTATTCTTCCACCGATACCGACAACGGGGAACTATTCTTACCACCGATACCGACAACGGGGAACTATTCTTACCACCGATACCGACAACGGGGAACTATTCTTACCACCGATACCGACAACGGGGAACTATTCTTACCACCGATACCGACAACGGGGAACTATTCTTACCCGATACCGACAACGGGGAACTATTCTTACCACCGATACCGACAACGGGGAACTATTCTTACCACGGTACCGACAACGGGGAACTATTCTTCCACTGATACCGACAACGGGGAACTATTCTTACCACCGATACCGACAACGGGGAACTATTCTTACCACCGATACCGACAACGGGGAACTATTCTTACCACCGATACCGACAACGGGGAACTATTCTTACCACCGGTACCGACAACGGGGAACTATTCTTCCACTGGTACCGACAACGGGGAACTATTCTTCCACTGGTACCGACAACGGGGAACTATTCTTCCACTGGTACCGACAACGGGGAACTATTCTTCCACTGGTACCGACAACGGGGAACTATTCTTCCACTGGTACCGACAACGGGGAACTATTCTTCCACTGGTACCGACAACGGGGAACTATTCTTCCACTGGTACCGACAACGGGGAACTATTCTTGCGATGTACACTGCATTACATTCAGTGTAGTACAGGGGAGACATCCAGGGTCTGTTAGACCTTGCATATCTCAATAAAGAGAACTTGTTACCATTTTTTTTTTTTCCTTTTTAGTTGTAAAAAAAAATGAAAGTTACACCCAAGCACATAACATCGCAATGTTAAAAATGTTACACATTTAAGTCGCCATAAAACCCCTTTTGTTTTTAAAACAGTCCTAAAATCACCTCCGATTTACTTATGGTTTTGGTTCAAATGCTTTCTTTTTTTTTTTTATATCTGGACAAGTAGATTGTCATGAGGGACAAGTAGATTGGGGCACCAATTTAGTCCCTGGACAAATACGTTTTTTAAAAAAATTTCCACACCCTTATATATATATAAAAATATAATGTGATTTTGCAGTTCCGCCATTCGCGATCTCGGCTGTCAATCACCAGATCCCTGTGATTTCTCGCTGGCACCCGATGATCGCCGAGAATTACCGACGGGGGAGAGAACTATAATCAATACAGTTCTCTCCCCTGTCAGCTCCTGCACACTGGTTTGTATGGCTCTGCATAGCAGAGCCATACAAAGCAGTGTGCTTACAGTGGAAAGCGCACACACAGCTTACTATGAAACAGCACACAGTTAACCCTTTGATCGCCCCAGATGTTAACCCCTTCTTGCCCAGTGCCATTAGTACAGTGTCAGTGCTTTTTATTAGCACTGATCACTGTATTGGTGTCACTGGGGATGCCAGTGACACCAAGTCAGTTCCCTCCAGTGTCAGAACGCCCGCCGCAGTCCCGCTATAAGTTGCTGATCGCCATTACTAATAAGAAAAAAAAATAAAAATAAAATTCCAGTGTATATATACTGCCATTTGTAAACGCTATAACTTTCACGTAAACCAATGAATTTACACATATTGGGATTTTTTTTTAGCAAAGACATGTATCAGAATACATTTCGGCCTAAATTTAGGCCGCAATTGTTTTTAAATTTTTTTATTGGACATGTTTAATAGTAAAAAGTCATATATATTAAAACGCAAAAAAATAAAACGCAGAGGTGATGAAATACTGAAAGAAAGCTCTATTTGTGGGAAAAAAGGAAGTTAATTTCATTTGGGTGCAGCATTGCATGACCGCACAATTGTCAGCTAAAGTAACGCTGCGCCGTAGCGCAAGAAATGGCCTAGTCAGGAAGGAGGGGGGTAAATCCTCTGGAGGGCAAGTGGTTAAATGGATTGTATCCTCAAACAAATGCAACAAATTAGGATGCAAATAATTAAAGGTTGTAATCACAGAACAGCCATCTATACTGAATGCAGACCAGGATAAACCAATAACCAGCAAACAAGTGATTGGAAAGCAGGTACATTACAGGGAAAAAGCTGACAAAAAAAATCAGCCAAATCACGCAACCAGAGCTTATGCTGGCTGTTACAGAGCAGTCAATGCAGAATCACATGACTGCACTCTGCTATCACCACAGACATCTAAATCGCTGAGCAACGAAATTAACAAAATCACAAGACGCTTTGGCATAGAAGTTCCAAATAAATGAATGGAAATTAAAAGGAGCAAGAAATCACCGAGGCAAAACAAGCATTGTGCCGGGATCTAACGAACCTAGAAATATTCGACATGTACATTTATAAACGAAGAGAAGTCTCAGAAGGCTGGACAGACGAAACCTTCTGCACAGCTTCTGTCACACAACAAATATGACACAACAAAAGCAGCTATGTGCTTAATATTCACAGAGGAAGATCAAAGTTCACGTTGCGATCAGGCTGCACAGCTAATAGGAAGAAACACTTACTGAGGCCCTTCCAGCCAGACTGCACCTCTGGGGTGACACTGTCCAGCTCTTTCTGGAAGTCTTCTCGTGCCACGGCCACCAGTTCATGGTACTGAGCCATGATCTTTGCTTCTGACTGGGCTGCTTGTACCTGTAGTGAACAAAGGGATACGATTAACATTCTCCTTGTATCTCTGCATCTTTTTCAAGCAAATTTCCCCAATTCACCCTTAAAGTGGTTGTAAACTTTCATTCCTCTGCTCTCAGCGTGAATTCCTGACACCAAGAGAAAAATGGTGACAGGGGAGGGATCTCCAATAAATTGACAGCCTTGGCTCTGTTTCTGTGTGGATGTGGCTGTCTCTATTTTCTCCAATCAGCTCTTAGAACTCTCCTCACTGAGCTCTGTAGAATGTAAATTCAGCTCTCCGCACCCTTTTTTATAAACTCTGAGACATGCTGCATAAATTCAGCACTATGAACAGGTGTAAAGACTATGCAGATGAACAGGTGTAAAGACTATGCAGATAAACAGGTGCAACTTATCTAGGAGGATTTGATTCATCTCTGTGTATCATCTGAGACCAGTCATTTCACTCTGTAGGTGTAAAGGTTTACAACCACTTTAAAGCAGTAGTAAACACCGCTGGGAAACTTGTACCTATAGGTAAGTTTCTATGTGAATATGCGGGAAGTAGAAATGAACTACAAATGTTTGGTAAGATGGTACATTTCACCAAGTGTGGCACACAGGGTGGATGGAGACAGTTCTCCATTGTGTTGGCGGAAATGTGGAAGTAGAGGTACTATGTATCACATATGGTGGGAGTGTTCAAAAATACAGGAGTATTGGGAGAAAACAGTGCATCTGATTCGGAAAATGACTGAAGTGGATATTAAACTGGATCCAGAGACTTGCCTTTTTCATAGCACAGAGATGTCAGTTAACAAGTATAAACAATCTGGTATATGGTATTATTTGAATGCAGCAAAGGGTCCGATACCCAAGTTTTGGTGGAGATGGGAGGTGCCGAAAGTAGAGGATTTGGTTGATCGGGTTGACCAAATATTTAAAATGGAAAAACTGTACCATATGAATGAAGATAATGGAGAGATATTATGTGAGATGGAACAGATGGGAAGAATTTAAAGATAAAAAGTTCAAATTAAATGAGGATTGTATGAGGGTATAATTTAAAAAATAACATGAGTATGTCTCGCTCTTCTCATTTGAGGTCCCAGGAAGATTAGGAAAATGCAGAGTGGTGAGGGGGTGGGTAGGTGAGGGGTGAGGGGGTGGGTAGGTGAGGGGAGAGGAGGGGGGGGAGGGTGTAGATAGAAAGAAAGGTGGGCGGTCTGGGGAAATATAAGTGGAATGATATTTGTGACATAAATGTGTTAATGTTTTTAAAAAGAATACGTTTGTATAAGATATCTGCTTGAAAATAAATATTTAAATATAAAAAAAAAAAAAAAAGGTAAGTTTCTAATAAAGCTTGTCTGTAGGCACAAGGAAGACAAGAGTACAATCCAAACGCACACGTTCCTGCATTAAACATGGCTGTGTGTATACATGGGTGCAGCAGCAACCGTCAGCTGGAACTGAACAGAATCAGCAAGGGAGAATGTCACCAGCACACCGAGGATCACCAATATGGGTCCAAAAGTTTTAATGAACGATCACAGTTACAGCAAGGCAACATTTTGGAGTCTCGCAGGACCCCTTCATCAGGCATGTGACCAGGAATGTAACTATGTGATCGTTCATTAAAACATTTGGACCCATATTGGTGATCCTCGGTGTGCTAGGCACAAGGAATGTCTCCTAAACCTGCACCATTTAGAAGATATTCACGGTTTCTACAGCCCGGTGCATGCGCTCTAAAGGGACAGCATACTCATGCCGTCCCTTCAGAGCTCTGTGCCGCGGCCATGACTCCCATGCGCATGCACAGGAGCGACATCATCGTAGCTTGGCCATTCAAATGGCTGGAGCCCTCGAACCCAAAAGGAAGACCTGGTGAAGATGGTAGCCCTGTCAGCGGTGACAGCGCACCGCTGGACGGCTTCATTTCAAGGCAAGTATATACCGTATTTTTCGCTCCATAAGACGCACTTTTTTTCCCCAAAAAAAGGGGGGAAAATGTCAGTGCGTCTTATGGAGCGAATATAGAGCGGCCGGTCCGGTATTTCCACCGCCGCCGTGTCAGAATACCGGGCCGGCCGCTCAGCTCTGCAGTGGGACCTTACCTGTCCCTCTATCCAGCGGCGTGCTGTCTTCTCGGCTTCTGTAGTGTGCGTGACAGCCGGGTCCCAAGTGCGCATGCGGAAGAAGCAGTGCTCTTTGTGAATGGTAAGGCGGTACCTGGGACACATGACAGATCCCAGAAGCCGCCGGACCAATCACAAAGCGCAGCGCTTCTCGCGCATGCGCACTGGGCATCTGGCTGTCCGACGAGCTCCCACCCTACAGAAGCCGGGAAGACAGCGCGCGGCTGGATAAAGGAACAGGTAAAATAAAAAAAAAAACTCTGCGGAAGTAAGAGCGGGTACCTGTCAAATTCAGGTACCCGCTCCCCCTCCCTCCCCAAAGGTCAGCATTCATCTCCTGTGCTGTCCGCAGTCTCTGGTCATCCCTGTGCTGTCCGCAGTCTCTGGTCATCCCTGTGCTGTCCGCAGTCTCTGGTCATCCCTGTGCTGTCCGCAGTCTCTGGTCATCCCTGTGCTGTCCGCAGTCTCTGGTCATCCCTGTGCTGTCCGCAGTCTCTGGTCATCCCTGTGCTGTCCGCAGTCTCTGGTCATCCCTGTGCTGTCCGCAGTCTCTGGTCATCCCTGTGCTGTCCGCAGTCTCTGGTCATCTCCTCTACTATGTCTTCAGTCAGTCCATTAGTTCATTTTTTTTTTTTCCTGTTTTCTGCCTCTAAAACCTAGGGTGCGTCTTATGGTCAGGTGCGTCTTATGGAGCGAAAAATACGGTATAATGTGCCAGTATGCATTGAATACTAGCATATTATTCCCTTATCTGGCAGGGGGAAAGTTTTCTCCCCCCCCCCCCGACTTCACTATTGCTTTACAGCGGTAGTAAACCGCACATAAAAAATAAAAAGATATCCAGCAAGGTAATGGCATACAGTGTTAGCATGCATCACATACTAGCACATTATGACAGACTTACCTTAAAACAAATCCCTCCAGCGCTGACAGGGCTTTCATTTCACCAATCTTCCTTCTGGGTTCGCAAGCTACAGCCATCTAACTGATCGAGCCGCGATGACGTCACTCCTGCACATGGGAGTCTCGGGACACGGCACAGTGCTCAGATGGAACACCTTGGGTATGCTGTTCCTTCAGAGAGCATGTGCCGGCTGTCACAAGGAGCGAATGTCTCCTAAACGGTGACCACTTAGGAGATATTCATTTTGCCTATAGGTAAGCTTGCCTGTAGGTAAAAGATACAAAAGTGGGTTTATTTCCACTTTAGAACTAAGATTCTTCAGTTATTGGAACACTTCTAATTGCATTTTGTGCATTTTTTTAATATGTAGTTATATGTGTTTTTTTTGCATGATACATGCGAGTTTTATCATTCAACCCCTATGGTAGGTGTGGGGAAAAAAAAGCATTAAAAAAAGCTATTAAATCCAGCAAAAAAAAAAAAAAAAAACCTAACATTTAACACCAACATTACCTTCAATCACAGTTGTACAGGTTCCCCTACTGCACCAAAATGGCTATTTCACTGCACAATAAGAGCTTTGCACAGTGTGCATTAGAATCTGCAGCAAGTCAGATGGATAGGGGTCTTATATTCTACCTGAAAAACATCTAACGTTAAGCCATTCCTGCAGCAAGGCAGGTAAAGCTTACCTGTTTTATCTGGCTGGAGAACGTCCAGCATCATCTAGCTCCTTCTATTTATTGGAATTCAGTCCTTTCATTCATGGAGGCTCTGCATCACGTGTGGCTGTTACCTAATATCTAATCTAAGAATTTGTTAGCAGTTATATAAATGTTTGCTTTTGGGTTTAATACTGCTCTAACAGTGGTCCATGCCTGTGTAATATTACAAATGTTTACATGTTTACAGCATCCTCAGTTTTGATCATTAAATGTGACATACAACTTCAGCTGGGCTTTACGTTTAAGGTGTAGGGCGGGCAGAGGATTACATTTTAGGTATGGGGCGGGAAGAGGATTACATTTTAGGTATGGGGCGGGAAGAGGATTACATTTTAGGTATGGGGCGGGAAGAGGATTACATTTTAGGTATGGGGCGGGAAGAGGATTACATTTTAGGTATGGGGCGGGAAGAGGATTACATTTTAGGATTACATTTTAGGTATGGGGCGGGCATTTTAGTAGGAGGATTACATTTTAGGTATGGGGCGGGAAGAGGATTACATTTTAGGTATGGGGCGGGAAGAGGATTACATTTTAGGTATGGGGCGGGAAGAGGATTACATTTTTTAGGTATTAGGTATGGGGCGGGAAGAGGATTACATTTTAGGTATGGGGCGGGAAGAGGATTACATTTTAGGTATGGGAAGAGGATTACATTTTAGGTATGGGGCGGGAAGAGGATTACATTTTAGGTATGGGGCGGGAAGAGGATTACATTTTAGGTATGGATTACATTTTAGGTATGGGGCGGAAGAGGATTACATTTTAGGTATGGGGCGGGAAGAGGATTACATTTTAGGTATGGGGGGGCGGGAAGAGGATTACATTTTAGGTATGGGGCGGGAAGAGGATTACATTTTAGGTGTAAGACTATGGTTAAGTGAGTGGTTGAGGCATCAGAAACGGACATTTTGTTTTTGGGTTATTGGTGCAGAATACCAACGTCTACAAAAAGAGAACCAAGCAACATCTACAAAATAGGAGACAATGTACTTTTTTAACAACGTTGTCCAAATCCACAATCATACGATGGAGGTTCTCTTCGGCTGAAATGATGTGAGGCTTGGCTCCATTCACAGCGCTCTTTTTGGCATCATCAACAACACCCTTCATTCGTTCCAACTCCTCCCTACACACACAAAAAAGAAAAAAAAAAAAAAAAAGAAGTTTAGATAACATCAGGGAAACAAGTGTCGGATGTGCCAATTTTTTTCATAGTCAAAACTCAACTGCGAGCATACATAATAGACAAATAATGCAGCTTTGTATTTATTAGCATAATAGTAAATGTATGATTTTACATGCATGCAGTGCAAGTGCCCAAATCTTACCTGGTTTCAGCCTCTTGCAACCCCATGTACAGCAAAGCTCAGACTACATGAGGGAGAGTAGCACAAAGAGTAAGTCAGGTGTGCTACAGTGCTCATGACCCAACAAGGAGCATGCTGATGGAGGAGAGTGCAGAGTAACTAAGAAGAGTTCATCAGTGTGCTGCTTCTACCTTCACTGCCCAGTCACAGGCTTGGGGAGCAATAACACCTGTACATATTACTTATCTACAATGGAGAATAATCAGGTCTTCTCTCCTGCTAGTCAGTGCCGTGCGGCCAAACTGTTCATATCTAAAGAACTGCATGGACAATACAAATCCTTTGTCAGGCACAAGAGCTCTCATACATGAATTTTACCTGCGAGTTTGGCCAGGTCAGTCTTAAAAGAAAATCTTAAAACAAATGTTTGAACTTCATACTTTATAAAGACTAGAAAGAACCTGCTTTAACTGAAAAGCATGAGGAAAACCTCCCAAATTCCAGGGGAATCTAAAAATCTGTTTCTGATATACAATTCTAGAAATATGCAACAAGCAGAATGTACAATGTTGCAGCAAAAATATTACAATAAATGAAAAGTGTAGCTTTTAACCACTTGCCGCCCTGCCACTGCATATATACGTGTGCAGGGCGGCACTGGGGCGCAAAAGCACGTTTTAAAACATGCTCCGCGCTCCCGACTTTCTCGCGGGCCCGCGGGTGACACCATTTGATCCCGGAGGGATCAAGCATTAGATTTCAGCCAGTGATGTCTGGCTGAAATCAGATGATCGGTCCCTGTCCTATCCTGTCCTGTGTTGACAGTTACACAGGACAGGATATGATGTCATTCTTCTCTGCCTGGACACATTCCGTTCCAGACAGAGAAGAAGACATACAAATTGTGAGTAAAACAGCACATACCCACAGTTAGAACACATTTAACCCCCTGATCGCGCCCCCCCCCCCCCCAGTTAACCCCCCTTCACTGCCCTGTCACCAGTGTCACTGATCAGTGAACCGATTTTTACTGATCACTGTATCAGTGTCGCTGGCGACTTCCGATAGTGTTAGCGCCCCTCCCAGATAGCGCCAGTTTGCCCGCTAATACACCAGTAATCCCGTCTAACCCCTTGATCGCCCCCCCCCCCCCCGAGTTAACCCCTTCACTGCCCTGTCACCAGTGTCATTGATCAGTGAACAGATTTTTACTGATCACTGTATCAGTGTCGCTGGCGACTTCCAATAGTGTTAGCGCCCCTCCCAGATAGCGCCAGTTTGCCCGCCTGTACACCAGTAATCCCATTTAACCCCTTGATTGCCCCCCCCCCCCCCAGGTTAACCCCTTCACTGCCCTGTCACCAGTGTCATTGATTACAGTGAACAGATTTTTACTGATCACTGTATTAGTGTCACTGGTGACTTCCGATAGTGTTAGCGCCCCCCCCAGATAGCGCCAGTTTGTCCGCTAATGCACGGGATTTTTTTTTACCAAAAACATGTAGCAGAATACATTTTGGCTTAAATTTATGACTAACTTTGAGTTTACGATATATTTTTTATAGCTAAAAGTAGAAAATATTGGGTTTTTTTTACAAAATTTTCGGGGTTTTTTTGTTTATAGCGCAAAAAATAAAAAGTGAACAGGTGATAAAATACCACCAAAAGAAAGCTCTATTTGTGTGAAAAAAAAGGACGTAAATTTTGTTTGGGTACAGCATTGCATGACCGTGCAATTATCATTTGAATTAGTGCAGCGCCAAACAGCAAAAAAAGGCCTGGCCATTAAGGGGGGTAAATCCTCAGGAGCTCAAGTGGTTAATGAATCTCCAAATGGCAATAATCTAAGTGAAATCTGACCACCTATAGCCATCTGTCAAGATGAAAGGTGCAGTTTCAGGTTCCTGTCCAAACGTCTTCAGCACCATGATTTACCAGTGATATCTTTTGCAACGTGCCTACAGACAACAAGATGGGCCAACCATCACAGTAGCAGCAGCAGCTGTGAGCTTGACTGAACCACTTGTCTACCATGCAGTTTATAGACATACCTTGTGTGTCTTCCTGCATTAAGGCACACTCAGGGGCGGACTGACCATTTGGAAACTCAGGCACTGCCCTAGGGCCCGGGGTCAGTAGGGGGCCCCATGAGATGCCCCTGGTACCTTTTTCATAGGCTTTTTTGAGTTTGGGCAAGGACACAGGGGCCCCATGATCCCCTATTTCCCGGGGGCCCCATGAGTTGTCAGTCCGCCCCTGCGGCACACTGCATTGTGGTGCGCGGTGTTATCCATTAAGGTGCAATAGACAGGACACCAGCACACAAGCATTCTAGGAGGTGCATTGGGATGCCCATTTATCACCGATTACCATAAATTAGCCAACAATAGAAAATGCATCAGGCCAAATAAATGCAGAGACGGTTAGTCCTAGTTTCCCATTGTGATTTACTCTGATTTTACTCTGTTTTCCTGATTGCTATATTCAATAAATGAAGATTCAAACTACAACACTATAGGCATATTCCTGTGTCTGAACTCCCGAGTGGAGCATTACATTTTCAGATGCTCTGTGTGTGACATCGATCCATCCCAGTACCCAGAGGGATCCTCCTGCCTATCCAGGAAGCAGCATCCACTTGGCCCTTAAGGGAAACTCTGACTGTGTTGGGTCAGCATTTAAAGTCCCAGGATTTGATCATCCTATCACCATGCCCTTCAGAGGGAAGTCACCTTAACATCATACCTACCTTGACTTCAGGATATAATTTTACTGGCGCATATTAATTGCACGTCTGGTGAGTGCACAATTCTCATATCACTGCACAAGCACAGACATACCAGAATTACAAGCACCTTTAAGAGCATTGAAAGTCACTTTATGAACTTTGTTATTTTTATATGAACTTTTAATATAACATTTTTACTAATTTTATGACCATAATATTGTTTTAGCGCTGCACTACCATTATATTCTTGTGAGGTTTTTTACTTTGGTTACCTTTGTGCAAAGCTACTTTACTTTTTGAGTGCACTCACATATTTATTTATTTCAGGTACTTATATAGCGCTGTCAATTTACGCAGTGCTTTACACATATATGTTGAACATTCACATCAGTCGGTAACCCTCAAGGGGTGTACAATCTAAGGTCCCTAACTCACATTCATACATACACATATTAGGGCCAATTTAGACAGGAGCCAATTAACATACCAGCATGTCTTTGGAGTGTGGGAGGAAACCGGAGCACCCGGAGGAAACCCACGCAAGCACAGGGAGAACACATATGCTTACTTTACAGTGCTGCAGATATGCCCCAAGCTGGCCAGTCCCCTTGCATGGTTATCACTTGCAGCTCCCTGGTGCTGGACAACCAAAAGAAGTGTCCACATCACACAGATGTGTACAGAGACAGACCCTCCCCCCAGCACAGAAAAGGAGAGAAGATATAGGAGCTGAACATCTATTGACCATGGATTTAGACGAGTAAAAGTGGCATTGAGGTAGTTTATTTTTTTCATTCCAGCAATCAGTGAGAAGGGGGTGGAGGGAAGAGGAGTCCAGGATCTTGGAATTATACTAGAAATAAAGACAACCTGTAAACAAAGACTGATTGGCAGAAAAAGACAAAGTCATCCATCTGGTCTTGATTTTTTTGGTGGACTTAACTACTTGACCTCCAGAAGATTTTACCCCCTTCATGACCAGAGCATTTTTTGCTATGCAACACTGTGCAATTGCGCTGTCATGCAACACGCCGTACCCAAATGAAATTTATATAACTGTTTTCACACAAATAGAGCTTTCCTTTGGTGGTATTTTATCAACACTGGGCTTTTAGTTTTTTTAAAAATGAAAAACAGAACATTTAAAAAAAAAAAAAAAAAATTTAACGGTTACAAAACATATCCAAAAAAAAAAAAAAAAAAACAAAAAACAAAACAAACTGGCATATATACTGGAATTTACACAGCTAGGACGCTATACTGGTAATGGCAGTGATCAGCAACTTACAGCAGGACTGTGATAGTGCGGCGGACAAGCTGACGCTGCCTGGGTGTGGAGGGACACTAACATCAATAGTGATACTAATACAGTGATCAGTGCTAATACTGTACACTGTCACTGTACTAATGACATCAGCTGGGAAGGGGCTCATATATAGGGCAATCAAGGCATTGTGTGCCTAACAAAGTGTAATATGTGAGGCTTTTACTACATGGCTGTTTATTCTCCCTGATTTGCAGGGAGAAAAAACAGCCAGAATGATGTTCCCTGTACACAGAGTTTTGTGTTTTGCAAGCACAGAACTCTGTGTGTGATTGGACACAGCTGATTAGCTTACTTCAGCCAAAATAACTGGCTGAAATCAGCTGCCAAACTCGTGCTTTTTCCAATCACAGCATGGGTTGGCAGGGGGTGCACCCGGGCAAACCCGGAAGAAGGCCAATACAGGGGTTGGATTAAATTATGGAAACACCAGATAAAAGAACGAAATCTCTATCTTATAAGGTGTTGGACCACCTTTAATATCCAAGACAGCCTGAATTCTCCTGGGAATTGCAAATGTAAGTCTTGAATGATGGATAATGGAATCCGATACCACTCTTCATGCAACGATCGTTCCAGTTCTCGCAGAGATGCCAGAGGCGGAGAATGAGCCCAAACCATGTTCTCTAAAACTGATTATAGTGACCCTATGATACGGAGTTCTGGTGACTGTGATGCCCATGACCTTCGTCTGCATGCTTGTCAAACCACATTTGATGACACCAGCTGTGTGAATCATGGTAAATGGCGCTGTTGTTAGGAAACAATGTCTGCACCATAAGGTGCACATGGTCAGCCAAATTTTTACATAGTCACTGGCAGTTACTCTACGTTAATCTACAATGATGGGGCCTGCAGAATACAAAGATATGACAGCCCAAACCATGATTGCACCACCACCATGCTTTACCGTTGGCACAAGACAGTCCTGGCCATAAGCTTGGGGCGGTGTTTGCAACACGTCCGATAGTTGGGAATAGTGTGAAGCTTGATTCATTGGAACAAATTCTTCTATTGATCGAGAACCCACGATTTATGGGTGTTGCACCACTCTCTACGGAGCATTAACATCAGTCACTAGTGGTTTGGCAACTGCAGCTCACCCGAGAATGTTTTGTTTATGGAGTTCCCTCCACACAGTTTTTTTGTGAACACAACTTTGGAAGACTGAGATTGAGCTCTGCAGTCACTTTGCAGAAGTTGTTTCTTTATTCGGAGTCCATGTCCTTTTGTCTCTTTCGGTCAGTTGACCAAGTTGATCAGGCTTACGCTTATCAGATGACGCTTTCCCAGAAACTGTACATGTGGTCATAACCTCCGACCTCGCGACGCGGCAAAAAAATTGACAACTTCATTCACAGAGGCACCAGCTAAGCGGCGCCAACAATTTGCTCTCTTCGAAACTCAGTAAGCTCTGACATGACTCCATATTAGTAGCAGCACACGCAGTGAATGACGAAAGTGAGGCTTCCCACCTGTTAGCTAAGTGTCTCATCACGCAGCGGAAGCAGAAGAATGTTACATCACTTTTGCCTTCAACGTGAAACATGTCATCACTTTCACACCTATAAATCATGTAGTGTTTCCATATTTCGGTCCAACCTCTGTACGTGACTGTGTGTTGCAGAGGCCAGCAAGTGGTTTATCACAAAGCAGAAGTAGTCATAATATAGACAGTACATAGAACAGCAAGAAGAATAACTGACACTCGTATACATGAGATAAAGCATGAATACCAACTTTGCTTTGAGAAGAGAATCTGCTGCTTCATCCACAGCTCTGCTGCGCACCTTTAAGGCATCCTCCAAATCCCTCCACTGCAAGGATTTATGCTCTGCAGAAACCTGTAAAAGAATCACACAGAATTAGTGTGGAAATGAAATGCAGCCAAAAACATCACATTTAAAATAGGCAGAACACCTCATGGATCTGGGATTCTGCTCACCTGAGAGTCATCCATGGCCTCTCGCAGTTTCTGGGCGTGGAAGTTCACAGCTTGCACTGCCGCCTCCTGGGACGAGACAGCTTGGAGTGTGATCCGGGCAGTACTACCAAGTGCTTCCTCCAAGATTGCTGCTATAGCTGTAGAAAAGCATTTCATAGAGTAAAACAAGATACGTAAAATACGATCGGGGGTGTTTTATTTATTATAACACTCTCACAATGGAAACAGACAAGTCATCCACCTGCTTTTTGTACAGAATACTAAAAATACCACCATACAGGTGACAAAGGGTGTGTGAAAAGAAATTGCTCATCTTGTCAGAATGGCATTTAAACAGAACCGGTCAGGGTAGAAGTGCTTTAATTTTGAGGGTGTAACATGAACAAGTGAGGGGTTCAAATGATGAAAACCTGGCATATTAGGTGATCAAAAGAGGTATTATAAAAAGAACTGCTAAAGAGGGAGAAGTAGGGGAGAATGAGGAGAGGAATAGAGAGTTTAGGCAAGGCTGGGGGAGTAGGGAGAGAGGAGGAGGGTGGAGGTATGAAGAGTATACAAAGATCACGAGGGGAAGACACAGGTAGAGGAAACTATTCTGCAAATAAATTGTATTTCTAAGTAAATGTGAAATGTTGCCACTAAAACTATATGTTCAATACCCTGCCCCCGGAGTGGTGGATGGCTGTGGTGAAGTGATTGCTGGTACAGCAGTTAATTGGCCTATTGACAGGGGGTGCTGTGTTGCTTGTTTCCTTTCAGTAGGTGAATCAGATGGATCATGCTAACTTGTTTTTAAAGTGCTCCAGGGCCATCATCCTCATCCTTGCTTCACAACCTAGCAAGCCACAGACTCAGAGGTACTCCGTGAAGTCAAACTCCCAGCCCAGCAAACTTGTTCCAAGTCAGCCACACATAAAAGGAGTGAAACTAGGAAGTCTGTGATTCACAAAAGAGAAACTAAAAATGACTGATCCCCAGCTTCCCAGTTTGAAGCTTCCATTGGTACATCAATAGCATGGGCGGCCTTAATGGCCAACTAGAAGGCATGCAAGGTGGGTAGAGGAAAGCAAGCTAACAGTACCAGCCAATACCAAAACTTTGCCCAGCCAGAACAAACTGAGATTCGGGGAAAGTAGTAGGCATAAAAGGCACATATTTACAGCAATCTTTACCTGCCTGCACTTTATATGGGTCAGCAGCACACTTTAAAATCTAGAATGTACAAGAAACCCTTTATACTTTCTGTTGTTCCACAGCTGCTACTCTGTCATTGGAAAGCTGGCTGAAACTCTTTAAAATGATCAATTCTGTACAATGAGGAGCACTAAAGGCAGAATAACTTACATTCTATCTTCTCCCTCTCTGCTTTGTCTTGCTGAACAAGGCGAGCAGCCACCTCCTCTGCAGGTCGTTCTTTCAGACGATGTTTATCCTCATGCTCACACTCCTTACAATGCTCAGCTTCTAAAGGAGATCAGAATTCTAGATTCACATTCTAGATCACAAACTCATCCATATAATCAATGACAGTCACCGGCTCTCTGCTCACTGAAGGCTGAGAACTGGGCAATCAGAGGTCTTTGATCGCTCAGTTCTCGGTCTTATAAGCGGCAGGGACCCGATGCTGCATCCACCTAGGCAAGTATGAATGTCTGTATTTTACAATCTCAAACTTCTCTTTTAAAGAGCTCTTCAGTTGCACTTTGGGAATGTTAAACACAGATTTGAATTGTTGCACTGACTTGTTACTGTAAACAAGCTTCTTGGACAGAGCAAAGGTGGGTTATAACCTGTCAGTTTTTTTTCCCCATCTGTGCCCCTTCATGGAAACTTCCCTGCACTTCCTGTCCCATAACCAAGCAGGAAGTGAGAGGAAATCCCTGTAAATAAAGGGAATTCCTTGGGGATCCCCCAGGTCACCAAAATCAGTGTCCCCATTGGAAGATTTCCCCTCTATTACTTTTCTGGGGCCAAACCCAAAATTTGGGGTTTTCTTTTACTTTCAATGATAATGGTAAACAAGACAAATAGAGAGGCTGAATCTCCCTAATGGGGGCACAGACAGCAATAAAAACTGACAGAGGTTCTAACCCATCTCTACTCTGTCCAAAACACACAAAAAAAAAAAAAAAAAAAAAAAAAAAAAAAAGAAGGTTTTGCCTTTAGTTATACTTTAAATATTGCAGCACATTTATTTTATTTTTTTTTTTTTAAGAGGAGGCCATAGTTCTACCTTAAAGCAGAACTTTACCAAAACTTGATAAATAATAATGTTCTTTATTAAAAGGAACATATATTCCACATTGACAATTATGCTACCAAAATTGGTGTGCACTGTAAATTACCTCCAGCATTGTTCCTGGTTCTTCTCATTGAGGCTGCCATTTTGCTGAAGCCCAGAGCCCCTGAACAGCAGTAACTCAAAGCAGAACTAAACCCATCGATTTAACAGTTTCAAAAAAACTGTTACATTCCTGGAATGCCATGATTGCTAACTGTCACTGTTGTATCCTCCACCAAACTGTTAGTCCCCGGCCACACGGATCCGACTTTTGAAATCGTGCAACTTCCAGTTAAATTGCGCAATTTGAAAGTTGGATGTCATTCCGACTTGAGGTGTGACTTGCAAGACATCTGTGGCTTACAAGACAAAGATGTCTATGCAAGTCGCACCTGAAGTAGTGCATGCACTACTTTAGAAATCGGCGCAGCTCCGACCAAGTCGGAACCGCACCAATATGACTGCTTTCATTGCGGACGATAGGGTGCGATTTTAAACTCGCATGGCAAATCACACCCAGTGTGATCAGGCACTTAAACCATCAAATGTCTGGTGTCATAACTGAGCACATGTGCAGCACATGACAGTTACAGATCAAACAGAAGGAGTTTTCTTGGCTGTAAAGGATAGGAGGGTTTCATTCTGCTTTAAGGCTGCCAGCAGATCGGCCTCTACAAATTCAGCACTGCCTGAAAACAGAAAAAAACTGAGCATGTGCAGAGCAGGGTAAGACAGCGTATTACTGGATTTTAAAACAGTATAGGCACTAATTTTAATGTTTTGCATAGCAATACCTGCCAAAAGGGGCCAACCTGAAGTGATCTAGGAGGACTTCGTTTTCTGATGAAGATTCCACTTTAACCACCTCCCAACCGGCCCATGTATATAAATGGCTGGATGGTGGCACTGCAGGGCTAGGCGGCCGTTTTTTAAACGGCCTCCCCCACTCCCTGCTTGTGCGCTCTCCCTGGGAGCGTGCAGCACCGCGATTCGGTGCCCGCTGTGTCCTCCAGACACAGTGGAACACCGATCATCGGACGGGACCCCTGTGCAAGGTCCCGATCATGTGATCACTGATTGGCCAATCAGTGATCACATGCAAAGTAGTAAGCAAGATGTCACTTGTGACATCATTGCTTACTATGTGTGAAATCTGTGAATGATCACAGAGGTCACATGGTACAAGGCTATTCACAACAGCCTTGTACCATGTGACAAGCTGTGACCAATCACAGCTCATTCAGTAGTTCTCAATGGCTGCAAGAATGCAGCTAGAGAGGATAAATGATTGCTTTTACATCCTTTATGGGTGTAAAAGCAATCAGTGTAAAAAAAAAAAAAATCTTCATCACCCCCCACAAGTAGTACAGTGTCACCATGGGCAACAGTATGTAAAAAAATAAATAAAAAATATTTAAAAAATTAAAAATAAATGTAAAAAAAAAATTAAAAATTATAATTTTAGTTATAAACTAATTTGGGTTATTTTTTTTTTTTTTACTAAAAATATAATGGAATAAATTTTGGCCAAGATTTATTATGAAATACTATTTATTTGCAAAATTTTATAAGAAAAAAAACACTTTTTCAAAATTTTTTGGACTTTTTAATTTACATAGCAAAAAAAAAAAAAAAAAAAAAAAATCCCAGTGGTGAATAAATACCACCAAAATAAAGCTTTATTTCTCTCGAAAACAAATGCTAAAAAATTCATATGGGTACAGTGTTGTATGACCACGCAATTGTCATTCAAAGTGTGATAGCACTGAAAGCTTAAAATTGGTCTGGATAGGAAGGGGGTGAAAGTGTCCGGACTGGAAGTGGTTAAGAGAACCTAGGTGACCGACCTTCAGATCTAGAGCACTCATATTCCTTACATACAATTCTCATGACCAATGTGTTATAGCATAATCTACTCCTAACATATCCTTTGTTCACAGGACTCCTTCACAGCAGCCTGCGCAGATCACACTCAATGAAACACCATATCTAAGTGAGCAATCACAAGGTCATTGTAAGTACTGTAACTAGCACTGTTCAGGCACTTCCGAAGCTCTAATACTAGATGTAGCAGTGGTGCACTATACCTGAGCTGCCATGGTGTTCTGCTTTCTGCTCCATTGTCTCCTCTTCATGAACAACAGGAGCTGGGACTGAGACGGCATCACCAGTTGCAGAGATAATCTGTGCTACGTGCAATGAAGCTAGAAAGAAGAAAGAACACATAAATGAATACACAGAATGGAACAGAAATCATTTTTTTTCGCACAGTGCTGACAAATTACCGTCAGTGTCTGCCCTTAGGCTCCATGTACACTGCAGCTGATGAAGTCACGTTTAGGAGCCTTGCTGCGATTTTTTCAGCAGCCCTTGAACTCTCCCTGTTTTCCTATGTGTCTATGTACACATCGTCGTTTACAGGCAGTTGAGTTTACAGTCTTTTTTTTGAACGCACCAAACTTGCATTCAGGAGTAGATTTTATCAGCGTTTCAAACGCTTGTAAACGCGGCTAACCGTGTTTATAAGCGTTTAACGGTTCCTTATCCAGATGCTGTCCAGAGCCTTTTTTAATCATCAGAAATGCATGCAAAGCGTTTTCCATTTATTCAAATGGACCCGATACACCAGCGCAGTCAGTTCCAGGTTTCGCGTGAAGGAAAAAATGGTAGAAACGTGCCGCATTATGCGCATGATGGGATCCATAGTGAGTACAACCAGAAAAGACAGCTAATCTCAACACATACTGCTCTTTCTGCTTCTGCTCTCTCTATTTCTCTCAAAATGTCTGAAATAGTTAAATTTTTTACTGTTTTTCAGTGCATTCTGGGCATTTTGGAAGGTATCCTGAGGTTATCTTTAAAAAAACGCTTCTAAACGCAAACGCAGCTAAACAGATGTTTTTTAACCTACGTTTTCCAGCAGTCAGTTTCCATCGTTTAGAAGTGTTTTCCAAATGTCCTGTGTACATGGAGCCTTAGAGTTTACATTTGATATACCGAACACAACGATAAACATGAAATAGAGCCAATTCTGGATGGAGGGTGGTAGCATATTAGTATATTTTTGAATTGTTGTAAGAAAACTACACAATCACAAAAGATACAAACTTCATGTAGATTGTTATTGAACCTCTAAGCTCAGCAATGCTGGTAAAGCATTTTAGGCACTAAACCTCCTGGGCTTTGCAAAAATGTTAGCAACAATCATATTTTTGAAGCAATAGGTAATATAATATCCTCGTTATTGCACCAAGTGATGTAGTCCTCTGATGTAGAGCCGACAACATATCAGGAAATAGGAGCCTGCTGTGTTTTACCACCTTTACATAGCCCATCCAATCTGACAATTATACGCTTTATAAAACAATCAGCTGACTATTGGTTCAGTTTGATAATCAGATAATCACAGATGACAGAACACTAGTATAGGGTCTACATTTTAAGTTATGACAATTCACAGTTGTACAAATCTAGGCACCAGGAAAGTCTTCTTTAAAGCAAACCTGAGGTGGACAGTGACAAGGATGCTTGTTTAAGGTGCCCCCCTACCGAAAGCACTGGATATAAGGGCAAACAAAAAATACAGAATATATCCACCTTTCCCGACATTGATTATATTTAATCCTTATGCTGCTAGCATTAATAAAAAGATAGGAAAGTATATTATATTTGTTTTAAACTTTTTTTTTTCTTTACATTTCTTCAATGACTTCCTGGTTTCCATGCCTAGGCAAATAATGTCATACCTCCCAGGAGTCTTCAGGAGGGAAAAGGGGGGAAAGGGGGGTTTTCTCATCTAAGCACACTACTGCCTGTATGAAAGAGCTAATGGCCGATGGATTCCTGGAAGTACTGTATTTTTCGCTCCATAAGACTCACTTTTTTCTCCCAAAAAAATGGATGGGGGGAAATGTCTGTGCGCCTTATAGAGCGAATATAGAGCGGCTGGCCCGGTATTCCCGCCGCCGTTGTGTTAGAATACCGGGCCAGTCGCTCAGCTCTACTGTGAATAAGAACCCGCTCCTCTGTCCTACCTGTTCCTCGGTCCAGCGTTGTCCTGCTTTCATTGGCCGTCTTCTCTCCCTCGCACCGGCAACTTCAGTGTGGGCACCCAGCTGTGACAGCTTGCGGCTTCCCAGCCGGGTGCCCACTGCGCATGTGCGAGAAGCACTGCGCTTTGTGAATGGCCCCGCCCCCCGCTTTCGCCCCCCCTCCCCAATGGTCCGCAGTCTCTGGTCATCTCCTGCGCCCTGTCCGCAGTCTCTGGTCATCTCCTGCGCCCTGTCCGCAGTCTGCGCCCTGGTCATCTCCTGCGCCCTGTCCGCAGTCTCTGGTCATATCCTGTACTGTGTCCGCAGTCTCTGGTCATCCCCTGTACTGTGTCCGCAGTCTCTGGTCATCTCCTGTGCCATGTCCGCAGTCTCTGGTCATGCCATTCTCCTGTGCCATGTGCCATGTCTGCAGTCTCTCTGGTCATCTCCGCAGTCTCTGGTCATCTCCTGTGCCATGTCCGCAGTCTCTCTGGTCATCTCCTGTGCCATGTCTGCAGTCTCTGGTCATCTCCTGTGCCATGTCTGCAGTCTCTGGTCATCTCCTCCTGTGCCATGTCTGCAGTCTTTGGTCATCTCCTATACTATGTCTGCAGTCTATGGTCATCCCCTGTACTGTGCCCGCAGTCTCTGGTCATCTCCTGTACTATGTCCGCAGTCTCTGGTCATCTCCTGTACTGTGTCTGCAGTCCACTGGTTCCACTGGTTCAGAATTGAATTTTTTTCTCGTTTTCCTCCTCTAAAATCTAGGTGCGTCCTATGGAGCAAAAAATACGGTAAATGCTACTTGAATCATCTGCACTTACATAAGATGGTCACGGCCAGAAATGCTAGAGGGTGTTTTTCAAAGTGATTTCTCAGCAAAATAAAGCATGGAGACATCAATGGATGGGCGAGTTTGCGTTCAGCATTAAAAATGAATTAAATCACGTCTTCATTTTGTGGTGCTCAGTTGCAGTGTAGATCCAGTTTAAATCATGCAAGGAGTTATGTCATCCTCTTGTCAGCAGGAGAACGGCATCACCCCCCTGCATTAGTTAGCTTAAAAGACTTAAGATCCTGGAAAATGCTGAGTAGCCTAAATCAGCACAGTGCAGAATTGTCTTCTTGCAAAATTTGGGCTACTCAACATTCTCAGAGATCTGGCCGGGGGGGAGGGGGAGAATGCTGTCATCCTATTGGTAGATTAATTGGATCCTGTCTAAATTGGCCCTTATATTTATTTTGTTTCAGGTACTTATATAGCGCTGTAAATTTACGCAGCGCTTTACACATATATATAATATATATATATATAATATATAACATTCACATCAGTCCCTAACCCTCAAGGGGCGTACAATCTAAGGTCCCTAACTTACATTCATACATACACATAGGGCCAATTTAGGGCCAATTAACCTACCAGTGTGTCTTTGGAGTGTGGGAGGAAACTGGAGCACCCGGAGGAAACCCACGCAAGCACAGAGAGAACATGCAAACTCCATGTAGGAGGCGCCATGGTCGGGAATCGAACCCATGACCCATTTACAGCAAGGCAGACGTGCTAACCACTAAGCCACTGTGCACTGCGTAAAATTGTAAAATTGACGGCACTATATAAGTACCTGTAATAAATAATCTCCCTCCTCAAAACTGCTTGCACAGACCTCTGCGTGGAAACTCACATGACTTAGAGGGAAAGATGAAACAAGTACTAACATCATCCTATGAGTTTAAGACTACTGTAGTACAGGGGCTGCCAAAAACGAATTTACATACAGCAGTTAATGCAGGATTTATCTCCCCCCCCCCCCCCACCCTCCAGTCTCTTCTATTTTGCAAACAATGGATTTACCTTCTGCACTTTCACTGGCCGCCGGCGGTGCCTCTATGGTCTCTCTTTTAGGCTGTTTGGATTCTTTCATTACTTCTGAAAGTCTAGATAATTTTAAGGGCTTCTCCTCCTGCAAATGAAGATCAAACATGACAGGTTATTTGAAGAACAAGTTATTCCATGTGCAGTAAAGATTGGCACACACAGCTTGATTTCCTCTCATTTAGCTTACAGGCTGAACAATAGAAAATAATTTGATTCCCCTTATCCACGTAAAACACAGCTTGGATGGAGGAATCACCACTACAAACTATTGGATTCAGCAGCCGTGATCCAGCCAACTACAAACCATGAACTCAAGTAAATGGAACAGGTATCTTTTTAATAAAACAAAGCCTTACATTGATCTCCATACCAATTAATCTATGCCAACAAAAGTAAAATTCAGGGTTTTTTTTGTTTAACTGTATATGTCAGACCTATTAGTTCACCTACCCATGTTTTGGTAGCCGACTAGCTTTCCAAAAACGTGTATGGTGTATACAATTTGTGTAGACCTTGTGTACTGACTACTGGAAAAGGTAGTCCTAGTTAAACAATATAGTTCCACACATTCATATCCACATCACTGCTGTCTAAGGTTTTAGTTGAACTTGCTGTCTTTAAAGTACAGGGGGGGATTGACAGGAGTAGTGGGGGTCTAATGCCTGCACCACTTTTGCAAATCTGAGAAAGCAGAGCAAATCCTGCTTTTAATGAACAAAGTGGAGCTACACTGCCTCAAACCTCTGCTACCCAAGCATGGAACAGGTCTATCTGTCGTACACACCCAGGGGTGGACTGACAACTCATGGGGCCCCTGGGCAATAGGGGATTATGGGGCCCCTGTGTCCTTGCCCAAACTCAAAAAAGCCTATGAAAAAGGTACCAGGGGGGGCATCTCATGGGGCCCCCTACTGACCCCCGGGCCCTCGGGCAGTGCCGAGTTTCCAAATGGTCAGTCCGCCCCTGCACACACCACTTGCATTAGTATTCTGTTCCATTATGTTGGTGTAGGAAGCTTTCAGTGCTTTGCATTTAGCCCCGGGTCACACTGATACGATGTGGCACATCGCATGTGATCTGCACAGAAACTTGCATTTCTGTGCAAATCAAATGTGATTTCTGTGCGATGCAATTTGATCCATACATTTTATATGGCTCAAATCGAACCGCATCCGCACCAAAATAGTGTCCGCACCAGAATCAGATTGCATGGGTGTTCCCATCCATGCAATCCAATTCTGCACATCGCAACGCGTTTTGCGAACTTATTTCAGGGTGTTGTTAACTTAAAATACACACCTGCAGCAGTTTACATGAACGAGGTGTGAATACGACGCAGTGCAGAAAACAGAAACCGGTGCAAATTCTGCACCGCATAAGTGTGAACTAGGGCTCAGTGTTACTGGACCAAGCCAGGAGGGGATCCCATGGTACTAGCCACTGATGACACCTGCAGAGGGCTGTCCATTTCCAACCTATCCCAGATGATGGCAAAAGAGTCAGCCAATACCAGACATTAGCTTTATCTCCATGGATCCCTTGGCCAGTGTCCCCTATACCCAACACATCAAGATTTGAGCAGTGGGACCTTGGCTCCCTGCTTATTGTGACACAAAGGTAATAGAATTGAACTTTGATGTTTCATCATCTAAAGAACTGTGTCCTGGCATTATAGGGCCTCAAGAAATGTTATAGACCAGGGGTGGGCAACTGTGGCCCTTCAGCTGTTGAGGAACTACAAGTCCAATCATGCCTCTGCCTTTGGGAGTCACGCTTGTAACTGTCAGCCTTGCAATGCCTCATGGGATTTGTAGTTCCACAACAGCTAGAGGGCCACAGTTTTAACACCCCAGTATTTTAAAGGTTCACTTGTTCTGCACAGAAGTCCCTACCAGGAGTCAACAATGAGCCTATTGTTTCCAGTCAGTGGGTGCCTTAACTGACTGGTAGTCTAACCATTTCCTTTTAAAAAGATTTAATTTCTAGAAGCTTTCGTTTTAATCCCAAAGTTGGCTATACATGGATCAAAATTCAGCTGGTCCAGCAGGGAATTTTGATCCATGCAAAGTCTCTTCTGCAAAAAAGAAACCTACCTGCCTGCTCTTTGACTTCTCCATCTTGTACACTGAGAGCTGTGCATGTGCAGTTCAGCTTACAGCGCCAGCCCCGGGAGTGACGTCATCCCGCGTTGGCCAATGAAGATGGCACACAGGAGAACATGCCAGCAAGGGACGGGTCGTTGGAGTGGAGGTAAGTTCAATTCCTGCACATACTGCAGACATCTGAACATTTGTTTCTGAACAGTTTGCCCTGGTAGAGGATTAGCTAGTGATCGATGAAGACTTCTTTGAAAACTTATTTATTGCATGTTAACGATACGTAACTATATGAATGTCAATAGCATGACCACAGCTCTGCTTTACAAATATACTGTGTATTTTTATACTGTACTGCAGTTGTGGAGGATTTCCAATCACAACATAATTCTATACACTTTACATATTTCCTAAAGAAATAAAAGAATTGAATGGTACAATCATCTTATTTTAGGGCTCGTTCACACTAGGCTGTTTTGCCAACGCTTGCCAAACGCCCCTATAGCGTTTGGCAAGCGTTGGTCCGGCGTTTGCGGAGCGTTATTAACGCTCGGGAAACGCTCCGCAAACGCCGCATGCGCGGTTTAGCGGCGGTTGCTAGGCATTTGCCGAGCGTTAATAACACCCCCACAAACGCCTATAATGCAGTTTGAGTGGTGTTACCGCTCCGCAAACGCCCCGCAACCGCACCGCAAACGCCGGCCGGGCGTTTGCGGAGCGGCACCATAGACTAGAATAGGAGGCTTCAAAGCCTCCTGACTCGTCCAGAGGCGTCCGTTTTGCCGCGACGCGACGCAAACGCTCCCGTTAGAACAGCACCATGTGCTGTAATGTGCAGAATTGGCAGAGGAGTTTGGGAAGCGGTAAAAACGCTTACCAAACGCCTCTCTGCCGCCTGCACACAAGGCTAGTGTGAACGTAGCCTTAAAATCCCAGAAACATGCAGAATGATATTACTTACCGGTTTCTTTGGCACTGGTAGGCTGTAGGGTGCAGGTCCTAGTGCAAGATCGAAAAGTTTGTCTGAGTAAGGTATGGTCTTTTCAACATTTCCACGGAACTTTGGATCCCAGTGGGCATAGAGCACGGTACCTCCGACTCCACCTCCAGCAAACAGTAGACCCGTGCCAACAATTTTCCCAGCTGAGGGTCTGCACAGAACAGATTGATGTGAGCACCCAGCATTCCACTGTAAATCATTTTTTATAAATTACTGGTTATTTAAGAGGCAATCTCACATATACTGCATCCCTGGGCTTGTACACACAGAACTCTCTCTCTATAGATCAAAGAAGTTATTCATTGTGTTGTCATCAGCAAGTGCAGCACAACAGGGCTGTATTAGCAGTTAGTATGGGCTGTATTTAACCGGTTTCAGCCCGGCCTATGGCTGAATGGCAGCCGGCAAAAACCCTCACCATTCCGGGTGGACGCCATATGGCGTCCTTTCAGGCATGCGCCGTTTGCGCGCCTGCAGAGCCACGCACCGGCGCGATCTGTCACCGGCCGTGTACCTCGGACACGGCCGATGACAGATCCGAGTACCAGCCCTATTGCCGGTACCATGTGACCTGCTGTGACCAATCACAGCAGGTCACATGACAGTTGTATACAATGGAGGGCTTCATTCATGCCATCCATTGTATACTAGTGTGTCTAGCTGTGAATGGTCACAGCGATCACATGCACAAGCTGGGCCAATCACAGCCCAGCTGTGTCATGTGATTAGCCATGGCCAAATCACAGCTAAGCACAAAAAAAATTGTTAATTTAGCAAAAAATAAAAACCGCAGTGTTGATTAAATACCACCAAAAGAAAGCTCTAGTTGTGTGAAGAAAATGATAAAATTTTAGTTTGGGTACAATGTTGTATGACCGCTCAATTGTCATTCAAAGTGTGAGAGCGCTGAAACCTGAAAAATGGCCTGGGCAGGAAGGGGGTAAAAGTGCCCGGTATGGAAATGGTTAAAGTGTATGTTAATACCAGCAATGAACCTATTTGCTACTGTTCACAGTGACCCATCTTTTACAAAAAGGGAAAAGAAAAAAAAAAGTTGATCCTGCCAGAGATACAGTGAGCTGATAACAGTCAGCAGAAGCAGGAAGTGCTGGAAGTTATCAATTAGCATTAGGAGACGAGATGGAAGCGTTCTGTAGTGTAATAAGGAAAGTATGGAGGCTGCCACTGCCGGCCTCCTGAAATTACAAGCTGCTGGATGCATGGGCTTCAATACTTCACATGGGACAAGCATGCTGGAAGAAAGCATGAGAATTCCTTATTGCTATAACCAGTCCAGGTTGTCAATTCTGAATGCACACTGCATAGCAGCCAGAAGTAGCTCATAGGTGGTAGTATTTGCTCTAAGCAGACTTCTATTTCACTATAATCCCAGATTTATAAACATGCAAACTATTACAGAATACGCTTTTAAAAGCAGAACTAGACCCTCCTATTAGTATCAGACATATCGGATTGGATGTCGCTCCACTTCCTTAAACTGAACCTCTCCAAATCCGAGCTCCTAGTTTTCCCCCCAGCCCACCACCCCCCCCCCTCCCCCAACTTCTCCATCACGTCCAACCATGCCACCATCAGGTCCACCCCGCAAGCCAGAGCACTTGATGTCATTCTTGACTCCAATCCATCCTTCCAGCCCCAAGTCCAATCGCTAACAAACTCGTGCAGACTCCACCTCAGCAACATTGCCAAAATCCGCACGTTCCTGACCCCAGAAACCACTAAACAGCTCATCCACTCCCTCATCATATCACGACTCGACTACTGCAACTCCCTCCTCACTGGCCTGCCTCGCCGCTGGCTATCCCCGCTTCAGTCGATCCTGAATACGACAGCTAGACTCATCCATCTTTCCAACCGCTCCATTTCCGCCACCCCCCTCTGCCAATCCCTCCACTGGCTTCCGATTGCGCAACGGATCAAATTCAAAATCCTAACACTGACGTACAAAGCCGTCCACCATACTGCCCCGAACTACATCACCGACCTAATATCCAAGTACCGCCCAGCACGCACACTCCGCTCCTCACAAGACCTCCTTCTCTCTAGTTCCCTGGTCTCCTCCTCCCATGCCCACCTCCAGGACTTCTCCAGGACATCACCCATCCTCTGGAACTCCCTACCCCAATCCATCAGACTATCACCTACTCTCCTCTCCTTTAGGTGCACCCTGAAAACCCACCTCTTCAGGGAAGCCTACCCCACCCCCTGCTAATTGCCGATCTCCTCCACTCTTCCTACCACTCCATCCCCCACAGCTTTCTCCTCTTGTGCCACCATCCCCTCCCTCCTAGATTGTAAGCTCCAAGGAGCAGGGCCCTCAATCCCCTCATGTATCACATTGTATTGTTATTGTTCTGTCACATGTTCTGTCCCCCATTGTAATGTACAGCGCTGAGCGAACTATTGGCGCTTTAGGGGGGGTGAGGTGATGATACAAATGTGGGGGGGGGGGTGAGGTGGTGATACAAATATGGGGGGGGGTGAGGTGGTGATACAAACATGGGGGGGTGAGGTGGTGATACAAACATGGGGGGGTGAGGTGGTGATACAAACATGGGGGGGTGAGGTGGTGATACAAACATGGGGGGTGAGGTGGTGATACAAACATGGGGGGTGAGGTGATGATACAAACATGGGGGGGTGAGGTGGTGATACAAACATGGGGGGTGAGGTGATGATACAAACATGGGGGGTGAGGTGGTGATACAAACATGGGGGGTGAGGTGGTGATACAAATATGGGGGATGAGGTGGTGATACAAATATGGGGGGTGAGGTGGTGATACAAATATGGGGGGTGAGGTGGTGATACAAACATGGGGGGGTGAGGTGGTGATACAAACATGGGGGGGTGAGGTGGTGATACAAATATGGGGGGGTGAGGTGGTGATACAAATATGGGGGGTGAGGTGGTGATACAAACATGGGGGGTGAGGTGGTGATACAAACATGGGGGGGTGAGGTGGTGATACAAACATGGGGGGGTGAGGTGGTGATACAAACATGGGGGGGGGTGAGGTGGTGATACAAACATGGGGGGGGGGTGAGGTGGTGATACAAACATGGGGGGGTGAGGTGGTGATACAAATATGGGGGGTGAGGTGTGTGATACAAATATGGGGGGTGAGGTGGTGATACAAATATGGGGGGTGAGGTGGTGATACAAATATGGGGGGTGAGGTGGTGATACAAATATGGGGGGTGAGGTGGTGATACAAATATGGGGGGTGAGGTGGTGATACAAATATGGGGGGTGAGGTGGTGATACAAACATGGGGGGTGAGGTGGTGATACAAATATGGGGGGTGAGGTGGTGGTGATACAAACATGGGGGGGTGAGGTGGTGATACAAACATGGGGGGGTGAGGTGTGTGATACAAATATGGGGGGGGGTGAGGTGGTGATACAAATATGGGGGCTTTTCTTTACTTTATTACAGGGAATGCATGAAGGTAAAATGTCCAGCCTTTAGAAGCACTGTAAGGCACCAGCAGAAATTGAAGGTGGAATGGGCCATGGACTGGGCACACAAGGAAAGCAAACACTGAGATTTAACACTTGTTGGCAGTCATCTCCATTGTAGGAAACATCTCACTATCATTTAACACAATTAAATCATCTAGTATCAGAAAGATGTAAAGGCCAAGTTCACCCTACAATAACAAATAATAAATGTATAAGGAAATAAAATGTGCATTTATTAATTTTTTAAAACAGGATCCTGGAAAGCATTGAACCTGTGAAATGTTTCGGTCAAAAAAACAACCCTAATGGTCATCAGCCGGTATGAAAAAAACACCGCTACACCAAAAAAAAACCCCGCCCCCTTGTCACCGCTCGGTAGTTCTCAGCCTTACCTGAGAAATCACCTAACAATTCCGGTTCTGGGCATAGAGATTAGTGAAGGAAAGATGGCCTCCACTCATCTCTATGCCCTTGGAGGACTGGAGCGATGTCACTTCCAATTCCGGCGCTTTGTAAACAAGGCTATTTTTTTTTTTTATAAAGCACTTGATCAATGCTTTTTTTCATCTAATGTTTTACATTGTAGTGGAGAGATGTAAGGTCTTATTGCCCCCATATCTCTCCATAAAGAGGACCTGTCACTAATTATTTCTATCACAAGGGATGCATGCATTCCTTGTGATAGGAATAAAAGTGATTACATTTTTTTTTTTTTTTTTTAAAGGGACAGTGTATAAAAAAAAAAAAAAAAAAAAAAAAAAAAAAAGTTTAAAATGCTGAAGTGGTGAATGCATACGTAGGTCACGCTCACATACATATGTAAACGGTGTTCAAATTACACGTGAGGTATCACGACAAACGTTAGAGCAAGAGCAATAATTCTCGCACTAGACCTCTGTAACTTTACACCACTAACCTGTAGAGATTTTTTAAAGCATCACCTATGGAGATTTTTAATTACCGCAGTTCCACACCATTCCACGAGCAATTTTAAAGCGTGACATGTTGGGTATCTGTTTACTCACCATAACATCCGCTATCATATTTTACAAACAAATTGGGGTGTATATTGTGTTTTGTTTTTTTTTTTATCAAAGTGTATTTTTTTTTTCCCAAAAAATATATATTAATTTTTCAAAAACTGCCCATTTCGGTTGTGGTTTTCCGCCACGTGCATCCTGAATTTTTGTTTTCTGTTTCGGCACCAGAATTTTCATTTTGGTGCACCACTAAAATATACACACAAACTTTTTTTTTATTAAACAAAGGGACAGATAGTCTCCAACTTAACCTCAGATGGAGACTCTCAGAAGTAGGAGTTTCTGTGCTGACTTTGTTTTTGTGGTTTTCACAAGATAGGAAATATAGAAAATACCAAAGTGTGAAAATCAGCCTAAACCTCCACCGGTCGGCTCAAAACAAGAATGGAACAAGTCTTACCCAGAGGCTTCAGTAGAGTATGCTCTGGCAGCACGCAGGGGACGGAGGGAAGTCTTAATACGCAGGCACTCCTATAAAACAGAAGAATTACAGACAATTACATATAATCCTTAACTGAATGACAATTGGTTTCCTTAAGCACCTAGGATCATGAAAAAACATGCGTTTTTTTTTTAATAAAACTTTTTTTATGTTCATGTCTGACATGGGGGTGAAAGTGCCTCGACATGGACCTTTGTGGCAGGCTTACAAAGCAAGTGTATACCAAGCCAAACATTTTTTTCTAGTTTTCAATGGAGTGGGAATGTATTAGAAGGGTTCTAGCCTTCACTATTTATATTTTTTCCCACCTATGAGTTCCCCACCTATGAGCTCCCTCCACTTCCTGCTTTGCAAAACAGCAGCCAGATAGGAAATGATAGTAAGTTTATCTAACAGAGCCCCCGATGTAGCATCAGTGTGTGTTCATGTTGTATTCCTCCATGTTCACCCTAACACATCACAGGAACTGCAATCTCTAGTCCTCTTGATGCCAGCAGCTCAAACCCCACACTTGGACTTTTATGGTGACTTTCAGATCCATTTGATGGCTGTATCAGGAAAGGAGCTCTTCCCCACATAGGTACAAGGATGATATTCTCAGCCCAAGCAGCAGACAGCAGAGCAGTACCCCCCCCCCCCCACCTCTGGGTCTGGCAGAGAACCGCTTCTAAAGACATACCAGACCATATTACTGCTGGCATCTCAACAAATCCAACTCTTGCTTCCCTTGTGTGCTCCCAGACATCCTGCTAGCCACTCCCAAATCCACTGCTTCAAATAATACCCACCGTCATGTGCGTCACCTTCCTATCCTACACATACTGCTCGCCACCATAGCCTCCGTACTCCCATCCCGCCAGACACTCCATAGCCTCCGTACTCCCATCCCGCCAGCCACTCCGTAGCCTCCGTACTCCCATCCCGCCAGCCACTCCATAGCCTCCGTACTCCCATCCCGCCAGCCACTCCGTAGCCTCCGTACTCCCATCCCGCCAGACACTCCATAGCCTCCGTACTCCCATCCTGCCAGCCACTCCGTAGCCTCCGTACTCCCATCCCGCCAGCCACGCCATAGCCTCCGTACTCCCATCCCGCCAGCCACGCCATAGCCTCCGTACTCCCATCCCGCCAGCCACGCCATAGCCTCCGTACTCCCATCCCGCCAGCCACTCCCAAATCCTCTGCTTCAAATAATGCCCACCGTCATGTGTGTCACCTTCCTATCCTACACATACTGCTCGCCACCATAGCCTCCATATTCCCATCCCGCCAGCCACGCCGCAGCCTCCGTACTCCCATCCCGCCAGCCACGCCGCAGCCTCAGTACTCCCATCCCGCCAGCCACGCCGCAGCCTCCGTACTCCCATCCCGCCAGCCACTCCATAGCCTCCGTACTCCCATCCCGCCAGCCACTCCATAGCCTCCGTACTCCCATCCCACCAGCCACTCCATAGCCTCCGTACTCCCATCCCGCCAGCCACTCCATAGCCTCCGTACTCCCATCCCGCCAGTCACCATACCCTCCGTATTCCTATCCCACCAGCCACCATACCCTCTGTACTCATATCTCACCAGACATCAGAGCCTCCATACTCCCATTCTGCCAGCCATCATACTCTGCATATCCCCATCCCATCAGCCACCATACCCTCAACACTACTCTTCTACACACATCACCCTTCATCATTCCCTCCACATTCCAGTCCTGCAATTACTATCCCTTCACACATTCCACACGGTTCTCGTATCCACCTAAACAGTTATTTGGAATATACCCAATTTTGCTGGAACAGGCACACTTTTGCTAGTACACTCAAACTGTGGATTTAAAAATAATGAGAATTACTTTTTAAATTTATTTAGGATGTTAATGAATAATAATAAGACCAGTCTCTAAACCTTTTCAACACAGATTAAAAAAGAAAGGAAAGAAATCCTGATAAACTGCCGCCATGCCGATATGACTAGATACTTCCAGTGACCATTATGAGAGAGTGAGTGAGTGAGAACACCAAATGTAACACATGCTCCCCATTCACACCTGAGACCTTGTAACATTAATGAGTCACATGACACCGGGGAGGGAAAATGGCTAATTGGACCCAATTTGGACATTGTCACTTAGGGGTGTACTCACTTTTGTTGCCAGCGGTTTAGACATTAATGGCTGTGTGTTGAGTTATTTTGAGGGGACAGCAAATGTACATGTTATACAAGCTGTACACTGACTACGTCACATTGTAGCAAAGTGTCATTTCTTCAGTGTTGTCACATGAAAAGATAGAATAAAATATTTACAAAAATGTGAGGGATGACCTCACTTCTGGGAGATACTGTACGGCCCCTTCTTTTGGGCTTGAATGATATCTACTCATTGGTATTTGTGTTGTCTCCAAAGGGGCACAAGGTATGATGGGAGAGAGATTTGTTTAGACCCGTACAAATATATGTCTATGGCTAACTATGTAGGTGACAATATATCCATCCTGCGGATATTGAGATTTCCCACAATATAACGGTGGGTGTCCTCGTTCAGCCATTTTATGGATCTCCTTTCTCCCATGATCTCTATATCTCTCACTACGCAAACTTTTTCTCGGTTAGTGATCTGGGTGGCCTTTGTGTTCCGTCTAGATGGGATGCCTGGAGCCCATAGGTGCCCTGACCGGGAGGTGCTGACAATCCTGAAGCCTGTTTTTAGGATTGAAGAATTCGTTTATGTTTTCAGTCTTTCATATTGTGAGTATATTTACACATTTGGAACCATACAAATACTTTTATTTGCTTGTATATGATATGGAATTAATAATTGTATTTTCAATCTGACAGACTGTATCACCTTTATACAGAGTGTCTGATATCCCTGAGGAAGGAGCTATATGGCTACGAAACGTGTTGGAATTTTGCAAAAACATCTCTGTAATCAACTAGGATCACTTATTTCTTATATTATCCATTTTGTTTCTTCATTGGAGTATTCACTATTCTCTTTTTTATGATGTTTCCTTTCTCTTTTACATTGGTCATCATTGATTATAAACACACATTTTTATTAGCGCTGCACATTGATATTATAGAACTAGGATCACTGTTTAACTTGTGTGTAACATCCTTCCATGGTGATATGGTAAAATGTACAATATAACTGTTTTGCAACAATGGCGTGTTGTGCCATAATTTTAAGTAAATTTTGGCACAAATAGTTTATACATTTTATGTATGATGCCTTTAAAGTCCCATTTAGTACAGTGGGGGGGGTTCCATAATTTAACACAGAGGAACCCTTGAAATAACGTTCTGGTCTCAGGAAACCTCTGTTAAAAATGACTATATCTACAACTCATGATACATGAAGTGTGATGTCAGTGGGAAGAATGCTCCCTACACTTGTGACATTGTGAAGAATTAGTCCCTTATAAAAAGATCAATGGTGTCAGTGAGAACTTATATGAGCGGCAGAAATTGCTAATTGCTGAATGAACCTCTAGCAACTGCTGGAGGAACCCTAGGGTTTCAATGAACCCTGGTTAAGAAACCCTGCTTTAGAGTAGGGATGCACTGAAATTTCGGTGGCCAAAATGTTTTTGGCCGAAAACACCCCTTTTGGCCGTTGGCCGAAATGAAAAAAGAAAAGCACTGATTCAGGTACTGAAAAAAACCCCGCTCCTCGCCCGCTGCCACCACCGGCTGCCGCTCAGTAGTTCAGCCTCACCTGAGAAACCATCGATCCCGGCACTGGGCATAGAGGCGAGTGAAGGAAATATGGCTGCCACACATCTCTATACCCTTGGAGGACCAAAGCGATGTCACTTCCCGTTCTGGACATTTTTTTTTTTTTTTTTTTTAAAGCACTAGATTAGACCAATGCTTTTTTTTTTCCAATGTTGTTTTACATAGCAGAGGAGAGCTGTGGGGTCTTATTGACCCCATATCTCTCCATAAAGAGAACCTGTCACTAATTATTTCATGCATGCATTTCTTGTGATAAGAATAAAAGTGATTACATTTTGTTTCAAAAGGAACTGTGCAAAAGAAAGGAAAAAAAAAAAAACATTAAATACATGTTTTTAAAAAAGTTTAAAGTGCCCCCGTCTTCGCATGGTTCATGGTGAACACATACATAGGCCACGCCCACATATATAAATGGTGTTCAAACCACACGTGAGGTATCACCACGAACGTCAGAACAAGAGCAATAATTCTCGCACTAGACCTCCTCTAACATTACACTGCTAACGTGTAGACATTTTTAAAGCATCACCCATGGAGATTTTTAAGTACAGCAGTTTCACGCCATTCCATGTGCGTGCGCAATTTTAAAGAGTGACATGTTGGGTATCTATTTACTCGCCGTAACATCCTCTTATATTTTACACAACAATTGGGGTATATATGGTTTTTTTTTTATCAGTGTATTTTATTCCAAAAATATATATTCATTTTTAAAAACTATTTCGTTTTCAATTTCGGCACCAGAATTTTCATTTCCGTGCACAACTACTTTAGAGGTTAGGTTTACAAATACTTCAAATCTACTGCTATGAACCTCAAGAAAATAACCAAAAGGTTTATTTTACAAAAAGGACCACCATGTAGTTTACAATTTTCTACCTTTGAGTTCATGAATTTCCTCCTAAAACGTACTGCAGTCTAAAGAGCATGCAAAGCCAAAACCACTGTTTTAGTTGGAGTGTGGAAGGGTTCGGACATCTTGGACTGAAGTTTGCTGGAATAATTAGCCCACACTATAGGTCCTAACTACATATCCTCAAGTGATGAAGCTTTCTAAGAAATTCAGCAAAGGCTAAGAAAAAAAAAAAAAATGCGCTAGACTGCATGTTTTGAACTGGCCCTAAATCTACATACCAGCAAGTGAGGAAGCTTTCTAAGAAATACAGCGATGGCTGAGGGAATGAGTGGCTACTTATTGCTTATCTGCCTGGAGAGGAGATCTACAATCCTATGAGCCTATACTTGAGGGGAGATCAGTTTGGAGGAGTCCCGTGCATGAAGGATCCATTATAGCAGT